CAGCACGGCTTGAGTGGTACACGCTTCCGAAATGTTGAAGAAGTGCGAGAATGGGTGGACGAATGGATTGCTTCGAAACAAACATCGTTTTATCGAGATGGTATCGCCCAGTTGCCAGAAAGATGGCAAAAAGTTGTAGAAAGTGATGGAAAATACTTTCATTGAAATAATTTAAATAAATTTTTTACAATAAATGCTTTTTCTCAGTATTTTTTGGGCGGAAACTAAGTTAAGGTCCTAATATGTCCGATGAACGAATTAAAATTTAAATTTAACGAATATTAGCTAATTTCGATCTTGATTTATCGTATCCTAATTGATCAAGTTCCAATCTACAGTCCGCGCAATTCTCACAGTCTTCAATACGAGTTCTTTTTCGTCCTGTGTGTGTGTTATATCACTCGTGAAACTGACGTGACTCCTTCTGTGTTCATAGACCAGCAGCAGCAGCAGCAGAGAGCCCCGCGAAGGCACCGGTGATCAACGACTGGGTCACTGTCCGGTGTTACGCGAGGGGCCCGCCTTAGGCTGCAATCATTGCTGGAACACGATAGACGCCCACGGCAGGATACTCCGTAGGAAGACCAAGTATCACTGTCCCGAATGCCAGATCAATCTGTGCATCGTGCCGTGCTTTCAGGAGTACCACGAGCAACGGCGTGACCTGATTTCCAAACTGAAGCCCTTACCGAAAACCAGCTCCGTCTAATCTCCTTATTTATTACGTACCACGTACGTATCATCTCCTTCTCCCTATCTGCGTACTTCGTTTTTATAGATGATCGTTATCCGGACGATTAAATGTCAGCACGCGCTTTAGGTGTCCGAGGCTCCCGGTGACGATGACGCGGACCAACCAAGCCGATCATCAGTGTGTGTGTTTATGTACACGCGATGTTTACTTCTCTTCCTGTCTCTTTCTTTCGTACTACGATCAATGTGAGTCACCGAATTTGTATCAACACAAAGGGACCTCATAATGCTCTCGTATATTTTCGTAATATACACATACCGCGACGCAACGTCTGTCATTGCTGGAGCGGACGGGATTGTTCGCGGTCGATGCTGCGAGTACGACGCGATACGATTCCTCTTCGGAATATTTCGAGGAAGACGCGCGAAGGAAGCGGTCGAATCGTCGGGGATAAAAGAATGAGAGGTAAATGATACAAAGTATATTCGATAATACATGTCGCATTGGCGTGCTATTCTCATGCGTCACACGCGACTCTGACGCATATTTCCATTGCTTTCACGTTGTCGGGGGATTTTAATGTCACGCGACGACGTCACTGAAATAATTGTTCGGTGGTGTCCAACATGAGCAATTAACAATTATTCATATAAATATAAATGATTTAATATAATACAGCGTAGCGTGTATGGAATATTTAACAATAAAGCGCCCTCCGTAATTTATTGTTAATTTATAACTTATTTTTTTAAGTTTTTTCTACGATTTGCATCATTGTTGGGAACATTGAATCTTTTTCGTTCTTATCTTTTTTTTTTTTTTTTCAGTGACGTCGTCATTTATACATGTCAATGCTGCGTCTTGTGTTTTTCTTCAATTACGTGTCTTGTTTACTTCTACGAAGGACATTTTGTGTTCAGAAATTATTTCGAGAAATAGCGATTTCAATAGACATTAGGAAATCAATTTCCTGTACAATTTTTTTTTTTTTTTTTTAATAAAATTTATGCGGCGCGTAAAAGATGAACGTGAGATGCACGTTTCTTTGAAGAAGAAAAAACAGATACGTAAATAATTACGTAATGTAATTATATGTAATGACTATTATTATTACGACTATTATAATTACTCTCAAAGGGTTCTTTAATCTCGTATCAGTATATTTCTGTTATGTTACCGTCACACAATCAGTGTCGGCTTCGAATTAAATCTCCGCCCCGCGGAAACACGAAAATTCCGAACGTAAATCTCATTCAGGATAATTCACGCAATTATTACGCAGTTCTCTGGAACTCCGATCTCGTCGCAGAAATTGCGCAGCTTTGCGCGCGTTATCGAGCAATTTTAACGTATTTGATATTGCCGGCGTTGTTTTTCGCCCATTTTTCGTCTCGATCACATTACACCCGCATGATTCCGATAGAACCCTTCCATACTGTATCTGTCTGTCCCTCTGTCTCTCTTTCCCTCTTCTTTTCGCGTACGAAAGGATTGAGATAATAATTTTTCTCGGCGGCGACATTGCAAACACTAATTTTGGGGGCCATGAATCGCGAGACGCAATTGCACCAAAAAAAAAAAAGAGGAGAATAGAGAAGAGAACAAAAAAGCAGGAGGAGTGGGCGCGGTGGCCGCCGAAACGAGAGCCCGCGCACGTGCAACGATCGAATTCGGTGTTACCCTTATAAATCACTTCCTACCATTCACGGCTCTCCCTATTGCCACCTGTAACGGCGCTCCCCGTCGTTAATGCGTCCGCGTAAATTTGTCGCCGTTCGCTTCGCGATCAATCGAACGCGGGACGTGCGCTTCTCTCCCTCTCTCTCTCTCTCTCTCTCTCTCTCTCTCTCATCCCTCCACCCTCTCTACCCCCATCTATTTCTCATCTTAATACAAGAATATTAGGATTAAGGAAGAAAGTGTAGAGTAGAGTACAAGCGAGAGACTCGCGCGCGCTGCGGCGTAGTCCCGGTTATTCTGTTTAAAAGAAATTCTTCGACCCGCATTCTGAACTCTCCTTTATCGTTGCGAGCGTCTGTGAAAGTGGCTTATGAGCTTTTTGATTGGCTACAGGCCACTTTCACAAACGCTTGCAGCGATAAAGGAAGAGTTCAGAACACGGACTTCTTTGACGAGCGAGAAGAAAAATCCGCTGAAAAGAGAAGAGATCTCATAACAGAGCGAGTGACACACGCGCTTGATCGTGTCGCCCTTTATCTTTTTATTCGACGCGTTCCTCCGTCTCAGCGTCGCAGACTGTAGCTTTCAATCGGGCGAGAAAGGTCTTGTCGAGATATTTTCCTGCTTGAATCGGAAGTTGATGGTGTCTCAGTCTTTCGAGGCTGGACATCTCGCGTGGAGTCTCTGGCTTGTACTATAAATTTTTGTCTATCCGATTCCGGGCCAATTCTTGAGATCCACGCCGCCACTTGTCGCCAGACACGTTGATGTTTCTCGACGGCATTTTTTTTTTTAATGTATGCCTCGTGCGTTTATTGCTCGAGTCGAGACATGTCGCGCGAACGATGTGGAACGACGACTAGAATAGACGGATAACCGAGGAGACTGTCCTTTTCATCGGCGAGTCGTAGGATCGGATCCGAATCGGCCCGCCTGACTTCGATGAAACACGATTTGTCGCCAGGCGAGGACTCTCCTCCCGCCTGGCCGCGACCTGCGTTTTTCCCCCTTGACATTTCCTCGCGAACGGCACTGAGCACGTTCGCGCACTTTGTATATGTAAAGTGTTGAAAATATAGAGAAGAACACAAAAAAAGAAAAGAGGAACAAATGAAAAGAAAGAAGAAGAGAAGAAGTAATGTGCAATATATTTTTCTCGGCATTACTACAGATGTACTATATGCAAGCGTTGTATCGATTAATCATATTTTATGTAAAATCTAGCCTGCGATTCATAAGTTAAAAATAAAACAATGTGAGGTCACACGAATCGACGGTGAATCGTACGAACATTTCCGAAACTCGAAAGTTATCCTCTCCTCGTCTTGCCTTGACCAAGGATCATTTTCATTTCGTCCGCGAGATATCCTCGGGACAGAGTTCAAGCACCCAATCATTGATCTCCCTTAGCCATTGACACTCTAGAGAAATCTGATGTTCCTTGCGAATCAGCGACAATTGTTCACAGTTTTGATTACGACGTTCTCTTTTGGAATTTGAGTATAGACAACAAGTTCAACCGCAACGCTGATTACACGCTGAGAAAAATACTTGAAAATTTATTTGTGGGGAAATGAAGTTGATTTCTGTACAATGAAATTCAAACAAATAAATTTTCAAGTGTTTGTTTCTCAGTGCAAGGAAAACTAAGTTCTTTTTCTCGACTGTCAATTACCAAGGGGATGTCAATAATCGGGTATTTTACCTTGCTGTGGAAACATGCGACATAGGACCTCTAAAGACAAGCGAATGCTGAATACGCTTTTCTTCCAAAATACTTTCGGCTCTTCTTACACGTGATGAAAATTAAGGGGACCACACGCAATAGTTTTGTTAGTTCCCGGGCGAGAGAGTCTTGTGTTTATAAACATATTCCTCTGACCAGATAAACTCTCACTCTCCGCACCACACTGCCAAATCCGTTGACTATAGTTTTTGCTTCCTTCCCAGTAAACAAGATGACGTCAAATACGTCTCTAACATATTATTGACGTCTCATTAAGACGTCATTTGACGTCATCCTGGGTTGTGTAAACAATAACAAGGCAAAATGAGCTTATTTTGCAAACTCACCCCTAATAGAGGGAGTTGACGTTAACATGCATAACATTGTTCTAGCTTGAAAAATAGGCGTGTTTATCGTTCGCCGTCTGTCCAGAATACGATCTCTGGGCGTACTCAGAGGTCAGTGCGAGAGACCATGGACAGCCCGATGACGAGGATGACGAAGAGCGGCATTGGCACACAAGGAGGAACACTCTCGGGTGGCGAATGCTCCTGCTGCGAGTCTTCGCTCTCAATAAATCCGCGCGAGGGCTGGCCGCTTTTTCCCGGGCCGCTCGTCCTTCTCGTCATCGTCGTCGTCGTCGTCGTCGTCGTCGTCGTCGTCGTCGTGGCGCAACGCGGGCGTCCGCGAATATGGGGTCAGCCGTTTCTTCTGCGCGCAAGCTGACGCCACAGCCGCCGCCGCCACCGTCGTCGTCGTAGTAACCCCTCGCGGCATAACGCGCGCGACGGAAGAGAGGAGTCGTCATCTTGGATCCCCCCAAAAGCCACGGGCGATATTGTACGCGCAGCCGGTGCCCCGTCGACAGCTGGACCCCTCGTCTCCTCCGCGCTACGGAGAAACGAAAAGTCACGGAGCGCTCTGGATTAATCGCCGGCAACCCCCGATACGAACGAACGAATGGACGGACGGACGCACGCGTGGCTTGAGCTCGGTTGGCCTCGTGCGGCCACCCGTGGGCGGTCGATCTCGTTAAGGGCGAAAGGGCATTAAGCGATCCGCGCCAAACTCGCGGGACATCACGTTGCTCGCGGAAATATCCCTTTCACAATTCGCAGCATCAGTTTTCTTCTTTTTTTTTTTTTTTTTTTCGAACGCGGCGAAATGCGTTTCTTCTCCCATTAGTAGTTCTTGTGTGATTTTTATCTGCGTCTTTTTCTTATTAATTTTATCAGAGGCGCTCTAACGGAAGTTCCTCTGGAACAACGTAGTAGGGGATGTACTCTCTAAAGTTCTTGAAGCGAAATGTAACGGAAATACTCGGAATGTAGAACGACAGATCGAGTCACCCGAATTCGAGTGACTTTTCATACAGGGTGAATTCTCCACTCTGAGTTGCCGAGCGAGTATTTTCGATATCGTAGAGTGGATCAGGTTGTATTCCACTATTTTTTATCACGCAGAATCGAATTCACTCGAATTTGTTTCATTGCGAGTGGCAGTACTTTCACTGTCCTCGTCTCGAGTGAACGGCTGCGTTCAGCAGAGAAAGTTGTTTTTGTCGTAAAATTCATGAGTTTGATCGGTACATGATCTTCTCGGCTGAATTTAAGAACACATCCCAATCAGATTTACGAATTTTACAGTTGCACAGCAGCTTCTTTTAACAAACAGCCAATTTTCGCACGTTTTCAGTGAAGTTTTATTTCATGAAATTTGGACAGTATTCTCAAGTCAGTCGTGGTTTTTAATTAACGTTAACGGTCAAATTATTATATACATACATCTCTCTCTCTCTCTCTCTCTCTCTCTCTCTCTCTTCCTTTCTTTTTCTCCCTCTTTCTCTGACTATATCACAGCTATGATCAAAGAAAGAACAGTGAATTGCTAATCAAAGTTAGCTTATGCAAGATCATAGCTGCAAGCGAGGCTGATCTGAATTGGAGAGAAATGATGTTAATCTATATCTATAGCGCACGTCGCTGTCAAAAGCAACGGTCAAGCGAAAGCGAAAGCTCTCGCAGGTCGATAGGGCAGGCCGAAGTAAAAGCGTGCGGTCATGCCGGACTGCATCGCTTCCTCCGTCATGGAATAATAATCTGGACGAGTAACGAAACGAATTCGCGCGGAATTTTGCGACCCGACAGTGCGAACATCCGAGACACTTCTTTTTTCTGCTCTTTCATTTATCAGTAGATGCGAAGTGAGCCACCCTTTATTTACGGCACAAATCGCGAAAGTTCGCGAACGACTAGTTAAGAGGATTGCGCGGAAATTACTTAATGCCTTTTTAAGTCACGTTTAATTCTCCCTATTCCCCACGCGTAATCGCATTATACGCGGCGAAGGGCTCGCGTTTCTCTCCCCCCTCTTCTCATCTCCCCCCCTCCGTTTGCATCGTTTTGTTCCTCCGTTTATAGATGCAGGGCGGAAATTCGCGATATCGTGTTGTGACGCGATGCACCGTAGAAAAAGAAGCCTCGGGAGCTGTATTCGCGAAAGCGTCGGGCAGAAATAAACGCGACGTCGCTGATTTATTGTACGGAGAAAGAGAAAGAGCGAGGGACAAATAACTTGTATAAAAATAACGTAAAAATTAAATACTGCTCCTCGGCAGAGAGACACGGGACGTCATGAAAGGAGCGGAGACAATAAAGGGCGAGTAAGAGAGGCGCGTGATGAAGATACGAATAATTTGTCGGAATTATACGCGAGCGCCCGTTTGAAAGCGCGAATTATAAACAAGAGGTAGGCCGTGAGCGACAATTATGTCGACGGTGGCAATTAGCAAGTCTACTTGCAAACCAAAGGGTGTCTCGTAGCAGCGCCATGAAGTGGAGCCATGAAGATCGAGATATCACGCACCACGGAGTGCATTTTATTTGCGAGAAAATAATGACACAAAGTATCCGCTGCGCGCGTCAAATGCAAATTGTGAATTTGAGTCACAGCAATGTTCTCCAAGTACGACGATTATTATCGTCAATGTTGCTTCGCGCACCAACTGTGCTATGTGCATGAAATGAAATCGGAAATAATACTTTGTACGTGAATTGGTAAGAAGAATGAAAGACCGTATTCTTGAAAAATATCGATGAAAAACCATAGCTGAAAACTATACGTTCCATGAATTGTAGCTTTTTATGAAAATATCGTATGCTATATTTTTCGAGAGTAAGGCCGCAGAACTGATAAGAAGAAATGTCACACTTACCCTGAAAGGGCCGGCGCGATGACGACGATGGGGATGCACGTCTAATGGGTCAATCGAAGCTGTCCTCTTTCTCTCTCGCATAAAGGGGAGCAACAAATCCCAAACACGCAGATGGAACAGCGACGATGAGAAGGCGTAGTAGAGCGCGAATTGCTGCAGCAGCGAGAAGACGAGATCATGAATAAATGTTATCCCCTTATAAAGAACACTTAATTTACGCGAAACATTAACATTGAATGAACTTTATCTGTATTCGGAAGTTCGGGCCAAGTTGGCGTTTAAGTAAGATAAGGTTAAAGGTTATTGTTCGAAGAACAGTAAAAGAGGCTTCGCCGTCGGCGAAGCCATGCGAGTCTTCTGCCAGCCCCGCCCTCGGCGCCTTTGATATTCCACCCCCGATCGGCTGACATGCGCTCTGAGAATATTTGATAAGGGTGCTCAACCGCCCGCGGTGATCGCGGCACACACTAAGCATGCATATGCATGAAATCGATAAGGGATACTTATACGCTGGGATCGAAGACGTCTCGGGATCGCAGTGATCCGCGATCCATCGTATTTCTGAGTGCGATCCGACGCGTTTTAATCGGCCGACGACGTCGCATATTGTCGAGAGACTCACCCCCCTACAACTGAAAATTAAACCGAGACTCGCGATACATCTTCGTTCTGTGGAAAAAATCGTCTTCCATTTGATAAAGAAGAAGAGAGAACCTGACAATCGAGCCTCCCCAATATGTTTTTGTACACATGTTGTTTGTAAACATGTTATTTTGAAAAGTATTCGGACAACAATTGACAAATTAATGTACACCGAGAGAAAAATACTTGAACATTTATCTGTTGAATATAAAGTTTATTCACAGAAATCAAATTTATTCCACAGAAATGAATTTTTATTTTATTTTACACACAGAGGAGAATTGTATCTATTATGTAAAAGAAAGAGTGAAAGAAAGTATAATAATAAGCAGTCATGATAAAAGTGCGACGAGCAATAGTCATATTTAACAATTTCACAGCGGTTAATTAAGGTAAACGAGACGGCTCGTTGAGAGATGAACTGCGGAAACGTAATATTGACCCCGTTAATGATCAGTGGCCTGGTTTACATCGTCAAGACGTTGGTACATGTATTAAATTTGATGCGCACCAATGCTTTAATGCGTTTATATCGAACGTAAAAATATAATACGAAGGAAATACTAAAGGGAATACTAAAGGAAAAATATAATACGAATTTAATTCATGTCGTTTATCTCGTAGTCCTGGTATTTGAAATTGCAATTTGCTTGAGATAGCTTCGACCGATAGGAGGAATGCATAATTC